GTGTGTGCTTTAATTCTCCTGCGTACGTGTGCTGGATTTCCCCAGTGAGCTTGTATTTCTCCCCACTGCATGTTGTATTTCTCCTGTGTGTGTATGTTTATCTTTTCTAATAATATATAAAGTTGTATTACTGAAAATAGTGTGTTGGACAATATAATGAAAAGAGACCGATGACCTACTGCCCACAACTAAATATTAATATTAGTTGACCAGAACTAATATTTAGTTCTAGGCAGTCCGTTTCTTTTCTAAACTATTTCAATTAAAAAATGTTTGGGTCACAGTCCTGGTGAGAACGAAAAAGTTGACGTATATGGGATGAAACAGAACACGGATAAATAACATCAGATAATGGACTTAACTTAATTTTTCCGCATATTTCATTGTCTGTTTGCTACCTTCAGAATCCATATTCAATATAAGCCTCCCTATTGATCGTAAAATATAAGGGGTACATTTCCTAATCTGTATAGTATCCATAAGGAGTTGATTGGAAAGTGATGATAAATCTTAATTGAAGATTATAATGTGTAAATGGATAAGCTAAAATGAACGTGTTGTTCAACGGCAAACGGAAGAAAGGCGTCAGATTGCTGTGTGAAGCGAATGTGTGCTTCGCTGAGAAGGAATGTGATTTGATTTATTACTTTGTCTCTCTCAATCTTAAATCATTATGACAGTCGCTTTTTGTGAGAAACATTTCAGGTGGCTAGCAATTGAGACTATTTTCGATCCAGGCGAGTAGGCGTACGTATGCGTATTAGTTCAATACATGTCTTACAGAGTTACAGAATGCGTCCGTCATTCACGTGAGGTAGATATCGTAAATTTGTGAATAATGTTTTGGAAGTGTTCAGGATAGAGAATCGATTAATAAAAACGAGCAATTTTACAGCTTGTAATCCATTTCACATGTAAATTTGTTCCTACACTGACATTGCGTTAGAATGCTCCAAACAAAGCTAACAGTCAGCGTTTGTGTGCCGTCTGACTAATTTGTCAGAATTATAACAGTTCGTACGATATGCAAACAAATGCAGTTGATTGACTGATTAGATTTTAGCACGGTGCAGAGGCTTCGTTTCCCTCCAAAATTTTGGAACTGTACTAGTTGATAGTACGCGTAATATGAGGGGCTGAGTATTGTGCTTAACTCCGCTAGAAGATGCTCCAAGTGCTGTTTCGCTCTGCGCAATTTAATTTCACTAACTGATGGTAGTGAAGGTCTAGCGAGGTTAAGCACAATACTCAACCCCTCATTTATTGTTCCTTCCGACAAATGTGATTTATGGCTGAGTGTCTCAGAGAGAGGGACCATCTCAATGCCTTGCAATGAAGCACATGCTTCTCGCTAGTTTTCTGCCACACGCACAAATATCTATTTATTTTCCGAGTTACGGTTGTTTGTAAATTCAGTGTCTGTATAGTATTTGTCTAATATTGTTTTATAAGCTTTGAAGTCTTCTGGTTCCATCTTGAGCACCATAAGGTAATAATAATTTATTAAACTTAAGGCATGCTGGTTTACTGCCCTGATAAAGTCCTTGACATTTAGTAATGTCCAGTCCTTGCCATCTTGTGGCTCAGTGGGTCTATGCACAAAACGGATAACAAGTGTGATAGGCTATGATAATGGGATGTTTAACTCGTAATTGCTTTTCGAAGTACAACTTATTCCAACAATAAGTTAGAACTAGTAAGCACTATTAATAGATAGTAAGCTATTGTAAGGTATGGTCCATTAGTTTTTACATATTGAATTTATTTATCAATTGCCTTAAAAACGTTAGGCAATAGTGTTAGTGGCACATATCTCTTATTTGGTTCTTGATAATGAAAAAAAGGATACTGCCAACAGTAATTTTTGCTTTAGGTATGATAATCATATTTGGTATTGTGATAACTGGATGACTAAAGTTGAATTCCCGGTAGTATACAATCTGTAAGTGTTGTATACTACCCGAAATCTATAGTGTACAGAATACTTTTTCATTGAATCACTTCTGCTAGACGTTCTAACATTTGATAACAAAATTTTTACTTCTAGTTTTTGCATGCATATCTAGGGCACGCGGTAAATATTGCCTATAATTTTATGGACTCTACAGTACTGCTCGAGTAAGACATAGAAAATATCAGCTATCTGAATCTATTATTTTCAGAGCAGTGATAGCAGCATACATATCTTTTCAAGAGTAAATAACTTCAAGTTTTTAATTTGGTTGCATACTGGATTCATAAAAGATGAAAGGATAAATTTAGCCCGCTAGGGAAAATTCACAGGTTGCTACTTGAATACGCAATTATCGAGATAAAATCAAAATGAAAATGTGCTTTAAGTATTTGCACCACATATTACTCATTAGCTGAAAAACTGTATTTGAAAATGTAGCGGTGATGTCAACATCTCTGGCTTTATTAGATCGATAGCACTGACATGAAATGCTTCCATTAGGGACTCTCGTACTGCAAAAATATGCAAATGAAAGAGTTAACGAAATGAAAATTATTAAATTATCTTAACATAAAAAAGCATTGAATGCAGCAAAAACAAAGAAAACTTGACAATTAAATCCACCGTAAGCTTCAGTACGAAAGGAACTGTAAGTTTGCAACTAAAATGCAATAGATGAAATGAGGATACACATATATTAAAATTAATATGCACTATAAAAATGTATCGCACTGATATCATTCAAAATGGTGATGGCATGTAAAAGGTAGATTTCTACTGAATAATGAACATTACCGATTCAGACAAAAATGCTTAACAATGAAAAATCTAAACTAAAATATTTAACGACACTAACAAATAGTAAGACAATGCAAAAATATAGATGACTTTTGACATAAAAACATGAAATTTTGACACCAATTCCAAAATACAAAACTCTATTGTAATGATTGCACTTGCTTATGTAACTGAAATCATCAATAGGGAAACATTTTTATCATTAAGTGGTTTAACAGAAGAGACTTTCTGATACGCTTTAACTGCAACAACATATCAAAATATAGAGTTAATACCTCTGTATATCAAATACACAATACCAGAGATAGCCAAAGGTATGAGAAAATTGGTCCACGTTGAACTGAAGATGATATCTGACCACTTCGAATCAGTTTTGACGTCTGTTGACTTTACATCTCCAGAAACAGCAGCAGAGTCTTTCTTGATATCACTCAAACTTCCAATCAAATATTCTTTGCTCATTTCTACTGCATCTCGAGAATGTCCAACATCTTTAAAACTTTCTGTCGCATCCTGACCAGCCTGTTCTAATATCACTTCATCACCTCCCGGATGTTCATTCAGAAACCTTGTCAGATCATACACCTGTAGCAATGTTTCGCTTCTTTTGTACATGAAGGAATTACATATTCAACTGCTTTATGGTATAAGCTCGCAAAATTCCTCGCTCTCATGCAATTTACAAAGAATTATGCAGCTAAAAATAATTTGCCAAGAAAATATACGATAGTGGAATAATTTATGAGTGCAAAGCATTAATCTTAGAAATTAGAAAGGTAATTTCGTTCAAATTCCCTTACATAATATAAAACACAATAAACACTCAATTAAAAAAAAATTCAAAATCAAATCCTAGAACTAACATTGTTATCAATGATTATCCAAGCTGAGGTCGTATCATTGTGCTTTGCAACTTCTGCCATTGTGAACTGCTTCACTTTATTTTCACTTGTCATTTTAATTATCAATATTACAGACGAACTGAATAAAATGCACGATATGTATTCTTCAACGAAGCTAAAAAATTTTATTAAAAACTGTAAAATATTGCTTGATTTTAAAATATGTAAAAAATAGTGCCGAGAAGCAACATCAGAAATTCGACAGTGCAATATAAACTTTTGCAAACATAACTGCAAAAAATCTTCAGCATATTGCAATTAGTTTATTAACGAAGAAAGTTTTACTTTGTCAAACGGCTGCAAACTATTTTGCTTACTTAGCTTTATATGAAAGGAACTGAATAGCAAGATTCATAATGAAACTAGAATAAGATGCTAAGAGATAAAATACTTTTGAATAAACAAAATATAGTCGTCAGAACTTTTTTTTTTTAAAAATTTATTTATTAGGGAATTAACAAAATCAACTAATACGGAATAAATACAAACTCAAGAGTTTTCATTCACAACATATTCACATATTAGTTTTTGCAGTGATTAAATCAAGCATACTAAAACACAACTATTAACTAATAAGTTAAATTTAGATCAATAATGAAAAAACAGCAAAGATTTGAAGTCATACTTGAAAGCAACTTTTCTAATATTTAATATTTCGGTATTTCTACAGTACAAATAGTAGAAATATGTAAATATGATAATTAAACGGAGTGATAAGACAGAAATCAAAATTTCTGAAGTTGGAGTAACGAAAAAAGTATTCCAAACTAAATCTAACCTATCAGTCATGACGGCAACAGCATTACTTGCACTTCCATTATGTTAAAGTATGCACCTTGTGACCTTTTATAATCGCATGACCTTTTTTTTACAGATCTTCCATTTATATTTCTATAACAGATTGATGTTTCAGAATATTCAAACCAAAGATGGATGGAGTTTTGATGAAAAAGAAATTGATTGATTGAATTATCGAATAAACTACTATGGAAGTGAATAAGAGCAGCAAAGCAAAAGATAGCGATCAAATTGACAAATCACAATTTACACGGGATAGAATGTAATTGTTAAAATGAAAAAATTCACAACATAATACAATCAAAATTATATTCAATACTAATTAATACAGTATCACAGATAAATATGTCAACCTAAAATATTAGGCCTAAAATATAAGCCTAAAATACTCCTATGGACAATAATTTAGCTACGCAGCTATAATCGATGATTATCAGTTTGCAACAGCATCCAATGCTAGTCAATATTAACATATTAAAGGAAATAAGTCAAATAAACTCTGTACCATTTTACATGCCATTAATAAAAACCTGTATTATCGACTTCTATTCATGCAAACAAAAAGCAACACATAGCGTGCTGCCAAAAAATTTTCTGACTATTCTTCATCTTTTCTTTAATTCTTTTTTTTTAAACAAATTACTGATATATCACACACTTTGTCACAACGAAAACATATACTACGTGTTTTACCATTTATGGAAGTCAAACAAACTAAAATAAAAAGAATCGACTGAGTGGTAAGGTGAATGATAACCTTTACAAAAATTGCAATTATAAATAATAACAAAATATAAAAACGTAAAAGGATTTTCGACATGAGAATACTTTTTTATTCATTTCTATGCATGATACCAAAGATTAAATTTGAAGAGATTATGCACAGACACGGTGCAACAATATTATGGTACAATGAAATGATTTTAAAATAAGGCAGCGACTGGTTTCTGATAATATACTTTAATTTGGAAAACTGTAAAAAATATTCTTCCTTTGCGAGAAAATATTAAGTATTACAAGTTCATATACATTGCGAATTAAAAATTATTGAAACCAGCGTGATGCTCTTCACCTTAAAAACTTTAAATATAAACAGAATGTACAGGTAAGTTAATCGTACTTCACGCTAGAATAAATAAGTCGTATGAACCAGTGGCTGGCAAGAAAAGAAACAGTACCCATTGTTAAGAAAAATATATAACATAATAAAAACAAATGAGAAAAGTACTCCGTTCTTTGTAGTAAACCGGTCATACTTGAGCGATAATAATAGAAAAAAGTTCCGTAAATAAAAATAAATACAGCTACCGACCTAAAATAAGTTTGTTTTAACAAAGTTTCGCTGATCATATTCTTTAACCAGAAACGAATCACGAAGGGATATGCATTTATAGTTAAAAGGAAGTGTAAGAAAGTGAAAAATTTTTAGGGCAAAAAATAAAAAATAATTGGAGGAATTAGAAAAGTTACAATATCTCTGAAAGTTCGATGAAATACAGTAAACTTTTAAGAAATTACTTGCTAGAAAATACTACATAATTCGAAACTAAAACTTACCCTCCAATGAATATAGACGACCACCACCAATGATAATTTTCAGCATTAAGTTTTATATAGATGAGCATTATCGAAGAAGTTGCAACAACAATTATCAACATTAACAGTGCAATCAAAAGCACGTAATATACTGTGTACAATTCACGACTCCATATCGTTGAAAATATGTAAAACAATTCCGCGGATACGCTACTGAAATTCTGCCATAAATCTTTTTTTAGGAATACTCCTTCTTGCTGTTTTTGCTTATTTTTCAAGACATTTTATTAAAAAACAATGGTAAATTTTTAATTGTATTCAGGATGCTTTTCAGAAATAATAGAAGAAAATATATTATGGTAATGAAAGCAAGAAAAATTTATATTTATGAGTCTAGACTAGTTTTCTAGGTTTTTCATGATATTTTGACAGAGTATATAAATTTCAAGAAATTCCACGAGAATTATCAGAGTAAATTTGAAAAATGTCTTGTAACCACTGATTGGATGAACGAAATCAATAACAAATTCCAGCTTAATCGCTGCGAAAATTAAACCAAATACCTAAATGATAATAAACCACCAAAAGGAATTAATACAAAATTTGTTTTGTAGAATGGCAAATCTGGAAGCTGTCTAGGAATATTTCGTGTACGACAGGGGGCTGAATATGCTGCAGCTATATTTTTAGCAATAGCTGCACCAATAACTGTTAGTGGATAACCAACACAAAGCCAAAGTAATCCCAATATCATAATGGTTGTGTAAGGTAGAGCTTGGGTAGAACCATACATCCAAGATACCGAATTATTCAATACCCATATTAAAGTCATTGGTACAGTGAAAAGGCATGTTGTAATATTGGCATTCAGAGCCCAATGCTCTCCTCCAAACTGTCTATAAATATAAGAAGAAACGAAACCTGCTATTCCTGCAAACAAGAATTAAAACCACTGATGTAAATCAAACTCAGTAATGAGTGCTTAGAATACGAAGAATCTTGCACTTCATGTGGTTAAAAATTCTTTAAAAAACCAGCTTTTGAGAAAACCGCCATGGTAACCATAACTTATTGCGCGTTACGATAAGGAAACCATAAGTCATATGAAATACCTGATGTAACCGCATACAAAAAGACTGCAGCACTATTCAAGGTTTCATGATTTTTTGCATTAATTAAATTTGTAGAACCGATAATTAGAATAACAGTCACTAGAAAAAGAAACTGCGATCCAACACCTGCAAATAGCTTTGTTATCAACAAAGGTGATAGATTTGAGACTTAAACACAAAAATAATGAAACTTCTTCAAGAAATATTTTTTTCATGAGCAAATTGCAAGACTTTCTTCTAACTGCAACTGAAAATTAAGGATATCTAATATAATTACATACCAAGGCTACAGTACGTACTTCTCTCGGAAAATAAAATAGTTCAGCTTAAAAATACCACAAATTCCGGCTTGAAAATATGATTTAAAAGTTTTAATAAAAAAACTGGAGAATATAAACATTACTAACCAATTATTGAGGCAAAAAAAGTACGGTACTTCGGCAGACGAAATACATCCGTTGAAATGGATTTCCAACCTTTTTCGGATAGAAAATCATCAATGACTTTGTCGTTATGGCGGTTTAGCTCGCTCTTTATCTTGAAGATATCACTTATCAAAATGAAGCATTAAAAGATTACATAGATCATTTATTTCATAACCCTATCAAGCAGATGTAACTTTCCTTCGTTCATATTCTAACAGAAGCCTCGAAAACAAAAATAAGATTCCAAGTCAAGAAAAATATCTTTTTCAACCTATCTATAAAGGTTTATTTAGATGATTTCAATAGAGGAACAAATGTCATTTCGCAACTGAGAAGTATCTTCCTAAGCACTGAATTTTATGTTTTCTAGTTTTATAAAAGAATAAAATACCTCTTAAGATAAAATATAAAAATCTTACTGAAGAGTGCAAAATCCACGCGAAGAGGAATACAAGAAACAAAATAAGTAATGAAGAATTTAATATTGCAGTCCACTGCACTCGTTCAGCTCGAGCAGCAAAGAACTCTTTGTCTGAGCTATTTTGACGCTCAAATTTTCTGCAATTTATACAGACCTGTAAAATTCGAATTTAATTGCGATAAAGGCTTAACAGAATATAATTCGAGAAAAACTTGTCCCTCAAAACACGACTACAGAATAGATCTAAAATTAAAATTATGAAATGTTACTCAGTTTCAGTCCAAATAACACTATAAAAAAGCTCGATACTTTCTGGTTTTGCGCTAAGATCAATTACTGAATCCTGATCTGTTTTCAGAGTTACTCGATATATCTGAAATTGATAACATAAAAGAGAATTCATGAATACTATTCAAAAATTAGGAGAATAAACCAGAAAATGTAAAGGATATTTAAAAAACTTTGAAACAAAGAAATGCGTACGAAGTTGCAAAGATTAAATTGTAAATAAGGCTATGCATAAATAAGATACTTTGCCAGTCCTAAGACTATAATCGATAGCGAAAACAAAGTGAGTGTACAAATAAGCGTGATGCTTGTGAGGAAAAGTGTTTTGTTCTTCAACGAATCCCAAATAATTATGGACTCGGATATTATCTAAAATCACAAAAACTTGGAGTGCACATAAATTTCTAAAAGATAAAATCAATTAATAATGCAATATTTATAATTTTTATAATTTACAACTTTTAAGCTTTTTAATACCAAACTGTGAGTCCTGATATAATCATTTGAAATGAAGATTTTCAATCACACTCACCAACTTCATTTTGTGATCCCTATTGCAAAGACTACACTATTCTCATCAAAAAAAAATCTACTAACTTTTCACTGCACTACTAAAGATTTTGCATGGCCTTCGATTCACTTACCAATAATTAATTCGAAATAAAAATTATCTTCCACAGCAGCTACAAGGTCAGCTAACTCCTTTACTGTAATTTTATATTTTCCGCACAAAGAAGCTTTAGCTAGTCGTTCTCCAAAATGTAATGAATAAGATGACTCAGCTATTCTATCGCCATTCAATAGCTGTCCCAATGATAAACTTTTATAAGTTATCTAAAAGTACAAAAGCTTTTTTTTTAATTAACACAAAAGCTTGAAATCAATGATACAATAATTGCTGTTAAGAAACACAAAAAATGACTGTTAATTTTTGTACGCTTAAGTGCCAAAAAATGAAATACTTGACCACATTTTCAAATTCACTTGACTGGAAAAAAATTAATACCATAACAGGGCGACAAAGCGGTAACTGATAAAAATGATAAGTTTCATGCTTATTGAAATACGGTCCAATTTTGTTCACAAAAACTTCGACCTGGAATACAAATAATGCAATAATATCAATTAAACAAAAATCAGGAATATAATTTAAACATTCATCAAAATTTTCCAAAGCTAGAATTCATTTTAAAACATATATTCTTGATATTTTGATAGTATGTGCAGTCATAACTTTTCTTGGAATTCCTAAAACGATATACCATTCAAGATCATACGTCGATTAATTAAAAGCATAATAAATTGACTATCAACAATGATTACCATAATCAGCATATAATTAAATTTTATAGTCATTCTAACAAAAAACCTTGACAAACGATAGTAGTTGACAGTTCACTCAAATTCGGCAACAAGTTAAGGCAGTCTAGTAAATGCTCTTAGTGATTTAAACGATAGATCCAAAAGACATAAAAATTAATAAATTAAGCAGATAGCTTTCAGAATTTAAAACAACCTGTATCTGAAGAATAAAAGAATCACATTAAATTTTTAATCAAAACATTACCTTATCACCCACTTGATAAACTTTGCCATCTATTTGCACATGCATTATTGAAATCCAGAAGAGAACTGCTAAACGTGGCATTATTACAGTTGTATGTCTATCCATTGTGATATGCTTAAAAGGTAATAACATATAAATGCTGTACAGTTACGTACTTATTAAGTCAGTACTATCACACCGCAGTGATATAAATACTTAAAGCTGCAAATTCTCTGAGAAAAATATAATAGGAAACTAATTAACGAATTTAAAGCAGTCTAAATTTTATATTAACTCATTTTAATAGTTTTGTAGAATTCCTCACATTACTAAAAAACGAATACTATTTACAGAATTTAAATCACAAAAAGTTTCCTACATATTTTGAAAGTTAACAAATTACACTGTAATAGCACACAAATAATGACTGGTACTCTGACTACAATTAAAAACCAACTTTTAGAACTTTGCATGCCACTATTTCTAGCTTAGTTGCCAAGAAAATCAGATTAAATACCTAAATGACAATACAAAACTATCAAAATGAACTAATGCAAAATCCATTTTGTATAGTGGCAGTTCTGGAAACATTTAGGAATACTTTGCAAATACGGGGAGATAAATATATATTACAGCTATATTTTTAGAGAACGCACCACTAATACTAATCTACTTGCAGCTAATCTAACTGGCTATATTTCCTTGCTATAAATTACTTAGACTACGCAGTGATATAATCATTAACCCTGATTCTGGCAATACAATGAAACTGAAGGACTGAGATAGGAAAGCACAATCGCCCTTACGATTAGTTCTCCAAAAAAATAATTTCAACGACAAAAACTGTTCTACCTGCCATAACCACTATTTTACTGCCTAGCTTCACTCGACACAACCTTGAACAAACTAGCCCTTTCAATAAAACTGAAAAATCAATTACAGGACAACCATTTTTAAGACTATGTAGTACTTAATCTGAATAACTGAAACACGAAATGATGAATTTGTAAAGCTTTATTGGTTCAGTCCATACCTCGCATCTGAGTATGTATTATCAAATAGAGAGCATATAAATCGACAAACGCAAATACGATCGATCAAATACAGATATACGATAAAATTTTTAAACTTCAAATGAGTGCATCTATTTATTATTAAAATTTTTTAAAAGTCGAAAACATTAAGAAATTCCTTATTTCATAATGTTATGCACAGTATGAGCTAATCATTTATTATATACAAAGTAGAAGTGAAATCTATCATCTTCTTGGTAGGTCCACATTTGTGTGACGATAACTGCTTTGGTCTCTAAAATATTTGTCAACTTTTAACGAACAACAAAGCTACCAGAGTTTTGATCAAGATTCCTTGAACTAAGATACATAGTCACCCATAGTCAAGAAAATTCAATACATATTTGACTATTCCGATAAAAAAGGAGTTTGCTACCCATATGGTTATAAAATGCCAACACAACTTTTATATATAGACTTATATACATACAATTTACAATCCAAATTAGAAGGGCAAAATATACTTTAAACAATCGTCATGTCGTTTGTACTCCAAAATTGCATTAGGAGGTAAGTTTAAAACTCGACGCAATGTATCACGGATACGATTAGTTGTTGCTAAATTATCTGCTGTTCTATTCCATAATGAAACAATGTCTTCCTACAAATATTAATCTATTAGTTAGCAAATGAATTTAATGTCCGTTATAGATTTATGGAACATATGCAACTCACCAAAGGAAAAGCTTAAAATTCTAAACAAAAGCATATCATCGATAAGAAAAAGCTTATATAAAAAAGTAAGGAAATAATTATTGATAATCAAGATTGACATGAGGTGCAACAAGTGAAATAAAAATGTCAGTAGCAAATATGTGTGTCCATGACATCAAAGATAGATCAAATTCCTTAGATGTTTAGTTCTTCATTACAATAATCACAAAGATACTGCAGTCTACCTATATTTTACATAAGTACTGAAAAAATCAGTGACTTCCTAACGCACTTATAAATAAAAGTTATCTGAAACAACAAAAACAGAAAAAAAATAACCTGATTCCGTACCGAGCACACAGCACCACAAATTTCTTCTCCAACTAGAAATTGCTCACCAATCATTGCCAATATCAAATTTTCCCAGATTCTAGATGAAAGACCTTTTTTTAGCCGTAAAATCCATTTTCCTCCCTGAATAACATTACAAAAACTGACGAACACTCAATTATTTGGAAGTCGTCTCTTTCTTTTAAGGCATGACTATGCGAGACTTATACTGACTTGATGGCGGATTCTTAAAAGCAATGGAAAAAAATTCGGAACGAAATAAATGAAAATGGATGGCCGTCTATGTTAGAAAGCCCTATCAACATGTGACGAAAACAACAGAAGTTTATTATTACAAACTTTTTGATTTGCTGCGTCTTCCCATACAGGTTTTATACCCTCCTTGAACATATGATAATCTACTTTCTCGGTAATATCTAAAACCAATTCTTGTTTTATAGGTAGGTGATCAACTTCGGGCGGTGAATTTGAAAGTTATTGCAAATTTCTCACACATCTTCAGTCGCTCTATTTTTTGTAAAAATAATCCGAACTTTCCCATTATTATACTTGGTTGTGGTGATTCTTCTAGCTCCTTTTCAGCCTAAATCTTCCTTCCAGAGCAAAGAAGAAGTCGAAAACTTTCAAAAAAGATCAAACAATAAATGAGTCGATATAAAGTGCAGACTTTTATGCTTTGAAATCAACTAGATTCGTTCATTATTATGAAAAAGCTAACCAGCTGGATGCTTTAAAAACCGATATGTATTCCAAAACTGCTCTACAGAACTAAATGCAGCCACTGGTTGAACGTACAATGCATAATCCTCTGGATCGAATTTTCCTCTCGGACGTACAAAATAAGAGAACACATATGTAAATTCTAGCGGATGCTCATTCTCAGTACACGGGCTTGGTTCCTAAACACACTCAAAAATCTGTCAGTTTTTGAAAGTTTAATGAAATTTTGCAGCAACTGCGAGCATTCATATCTCATTGCAGTTTATACTAGGCATATATGATCTCAAAATAAAACATGAAGCTTTAAGCCTCTTTTCAAATATTTTCTGCTCTTCATAAATGTGAATGAGAAAGGTGACAATAGCACTGACTGCCTCTAACGTCAGAAACGATGAAACATTAAAAGCATTTAATTCTACAGAAAATTAAAATACTTACTACAAGTAGTACTAAGTCTGATCTAGATTCTGAATTTTCTTTTGCCTCCAAAAAATTGTCATCATTTGATGGTCCTGAATCACCAAAAACAACTGACGACATGATATCAATGCTTCTTAAAGTGTGAACCTGAAACTTTATAATTTTCAAGTTTGTTAGAGGGAAACAGCTGAGTAAAATGTAGCTTTAAGTATAAGTTCCAGCACAGAACATTTGATTAATTCATAATCGAATAATTTCAGGTCTTCTTCCCTTCTCAAATTGTAAATTACGACTTTTGCATTAAATTAATCAAAGTTTTTCACTCCAAAGCTGATAAATTAATCCAATATTTAAAATACGTCTCGCATATACTAGTGTACTAACAACAGAATTTAGCTATTGTCTAAATCAGACTTGATTTTCCACTAATGAGCTTTCATAGACAAATAAATCAAAAATTTTTTTGCATATTTCAATAAAAAATAACTAAAAAAATTTAAAAAAAATAGTTTTTGCTGGTGTATGCTTTTAAAAATATCGTAAACCTGTACTTTTAAATAGCGGCTAATAACAGAATGAAACTGCATGTTCTACAAAGAGCTACAGAGATCGAGACCTTACAGAATCCAATGCCTACCGTATGCCATCAGTACCCCAGATCAGAGTCAATTTCCTTGTCTTTCGTAGGAAATTGCTAGCCCACAATGAAAAATTGAAGTCTCAAAATAATGCTAAATACTTGAATGTATTGTACTAAGTAAGGGGTGTTTCACTTATGTAATTTTTCGTCTTGTCCTGTTTGTGCATATCACGCCTGCTTTTTACTGATAAACGTATGAAATGTATTAATTTTTTAGTGATATCATTGATAAATCTAATGCAAAAATTATGAGCCTAAAACAAATTTAAATAAGATTAGTAATAATTGTGCTAAATCGCTATTTCGGAATGAGTGTGTGTTGTTCAATGATACTACAATCAGTCATTTTGCCTAAATTTGCTTCAGTAATGGATGCAATTACTGCTGGTTACTTGAGTGTATCAACAGATCAGTAAGTACGAATAGGTAATGGATTATATACATTATTAATACGTGTACATAATCAGTACGTAGTTGATCCGAACTTCAGAATCAAACCTCAGAATCTAAAATTCAATTCAGAGATCTTTTGCTATTCATCGACATGTTTACAGAATGCAAAGTTGCAAAATAAAATATAATTTATTGAATTGGACTTTTTAACTTTAAATCTAAACTTGCAAAATAAAATTAGAGCGTAGGATAACGCTTTCAAAATCGTGAAGGATTAATGCAATGCCATATGTTTTTATCATAGAATTTTTGTAGTATTGAATTGTATTGTATTGTTGAACTCTGCACATATATTCGTTATAGACAATAATTTTCAGTATTGAAGATGAAAAATAGGTCAGGCAAAAGGTCAATGTTGATTGTTTTAGTTAGAATCTCAGTGCATTCTCATTTCATGTTAAGATGCTGAGGGCGTTATCGTATGTGCATTCTGTATATGATTAAAAGTTTGCAAAGCATAAATTGTCTTAAACAAACAAAAGTGCTTTCATTCATAGTAATTCTTTCATATTAGAAGATGTATATGTAATATGTCATGTATATATGTATATAATTTATGCATTTCAAAAACAAAAATGTCCAAAAAAGGCAAAAAAAAACTTTTATCTTAGCGATTTAGAAGAAAAATAAAAGTAATAGAAATCGAAAAAGTGAATTTTTGATGAGGAACAATCGATTAATTGATAATGAGTAAAATTAGTAAGTAAACAGTAAATGTAACATGCAACAAACATTTACATAACACAAAATACAGGCACTAAATTAATTTTGTTTGAACGATTTGAAGATATTTTAATTGCATTTACCCAATTTTGAATTAATACAATGTGCTATTAACACGACAAGAGTAATTAAGCATTAACAAGTATAGCATAACCATTATCATTATTGTTAATTATATTATTATTAGTATCATATCATTATTACTAATATTATTATTATTGCTTTTGCTATCAGTACCATCAATATTATTGGTATTAATATTATAATTATATTATTGCTACTATTATTGTTAATTTTATCACTGCTAATATTACTATTATTATTGTTATTATTATCTTTTATTATTGTTATCATGATTGTATTTATCATAGAGGTTGGAAATAATAAATTGACATAAGTAATAAATTATCACTATACACGAGCAATGAGCAAATGAAGTGATGGCTGACTTCTAAGCTTCGCTATTCGTCGGAATTTAATATCACACATAAATAACGAATAAGAATGAATAATACGGAAGGGCAGTAATTTGGTGAAGAAAGCCGGTCTGACAAGAAGTGTGAGGATTGACTGGGAATTGAAGAACAGTTAAGTTTATTACTGATATTAAGTAATACTTTTATTGCTATCATAATAATACTTCTGTTTCTTCTTTTACCTTTCCTTCTATGAAAATTATACAAATAATGAATGATTCAGGAAAGTATCGTTCGTTTCAGACGCATTTATTTAAATATTTCCTATAAAATATGCTAATTTTGCAAATTGTGAACGTGAGAAAGTGCTTGTGAATGCAAATTTTTGAATAAATTATGACAATGTCGCAGAATAAATAAAATAGACTAAAATTTGCGTATGGTTTTGCAGGGAAAAAACAATTAGCTTATCGCTGCAAAACTGATATGATTACGTTTCGCAGATCAGTACAGCATTGAGTGCTTAGTAATAATAAAGTAAAAATTTTTGAGAGTGTAATGAAAAAGTAAAATATAATATTTACCGATTCTAAGGAAAAGAAGCAACCGTAATTGTGGCTACAGTATTACTAATACTAAAGTAAATAGCAAAAAGATAGATTAAAAAACCAGATCTGAAAATAAGTAATCATTTAAAAGCTTTAAAAATCAAAAAACAAAATCTGAATCAATGGCAGAAGGAATATAACTGAACAAATAGATAAATCAAGCAAAATAAATTCAATTAATTAGGAGGATTCAAGCGTCGATCAGATAAATTTCGATAATCTGAGCGACGCCTTTGGCGTACAGCAAAAGTAGCCAAATAGCAACAAGGGCAAAGGGCAGAAATACACTGGCCGAGGGCAGAGCGGAATTCCTGACTGATAAAAACGGATATGAGCAACTTAGAGGAGGGCCCGCCAATTGCCAGCCAAACGAACACAAAGTCTACCGTTGCCAAATCCGCCGCTCCGAGAACTGATTGCGGCACAAAGCGCACGACGATCACTGGTAACCATGAAAGCACAAACGCGATGAGCACGAAGAAGGAAAGCGCGAAATTTGGGTCCGTTTCCAGTGATAAGCGTTGGTTGTCTTCTAGCTGTAAAAATCATTCATATTATTATTATTGTCTATCTTATTATTATTATTATTATTATTATTGTTATCAATAACTATTATTGCCAATATTAATGTGCATGAGTTATGTTTATCAGACCTCTGTTATCATCATTATTATGTAACAACATTATGCATTATTATTCATGTGACCTTAATAATTAATATCATCATCATCCTTCCTACTATCATCGTTATTATTATTAAAACATTTTTTACTTAATAATAAATTGTAAAAATATCAAGCATCACTATATATCATATTTGCATTATTACAATAACTATATCATATATCAGTATATATTATTAGATCACACTAATACATCAATTATCGATGCAATGCAGTGCTACTAATCTCTATTATTATTGTTATTTACTTAATAATTAAAAGTAAATAGTAGCATTCAAAACAAATTTAAAATAAAATAATTGATAAATTATTATAAAGAATACTGTCCTGATCCTTATTATCTTTTGATAATATTGCATTAATTACTCAAAGTTATTATAATCCATGCACAATTAAAATATCATTAAAATTTAAGCACAATACTGCTAATTCACTTTAATATTTATTGCCCGTTACTATTATCATTTATTATCGCAATTTTTTAGTATATAATTATTATTAAATGATTATATTCATGATGTCACTATTTGTTTTACATATTTAGTTATCAAAATTTGAATACACTCTGCATATTTTAATGTCAAATTAAAATGAAGTTTTATTATAAATTGTTTCTATTAAACTTTTAATGCCTATGTGTGTAAATAATGTCATCAATTATTATCAGTTATCACTGATATCAATCACAATAATAATATTATTATTGCTTAGAACTGTATTCGACACAAACAAATATTTATTTAAAACATTTAATATTTAAGTATTTTACAATTTTTTAGTTGATAGCACTTTAAAGTTGCATTAAATCAATAATAATGTAAAAAATAATATGAACTATCATAAGAGTAAGTGGTAATAAAAACAAGTATTCGTGTAAGTAAGCAAGAAATTAATTGAGTTACGCACATGCTGTAATAACCTTAAAAAGTTATAACTTTGAAAAATATCATAAATTTTCGATAACTTTAGCTTAAGAAATAATAATTCGACCATATTATATCTTTATTACTAATATAACAATCATAAATGATAATATTAAATCTATTATTATCAGTTCAAGTATTAATTAATAATATTGCTTTATAGCAATGATTACAACTGATATTATCATTCATTACTAACTAAAATCGTTATGAAGACGTAAATTTTTTAAAATATAATCAAAATTTCAAAAAATGTGTTTTGTTTAGTTATTTTAATTAAATTATGCAAAAAACATTCATCACTTTTTTTTTGCTTGTTAGAAAATTTTTTCTTATTTTTATACATACACATGCAAAATTCTCCGATAAACTAAAAAAGGATAAACAAAAATTTATTATTGCTGTTCAAGGTTTTATTGAAATTTTACGTTTTTTGCGTTATTTCATATCCCCAACTTTGCTACTTTGCTAATAATTTATGAAAATATTTAGCATAATATGCGCAATAAAAAATAGCTGCTATTTTTTTTTTAAATTCAATAATAACAAAATAGTACTGTAAATTTGAAAGAATATTTTTTATATTTTTGAATTATTTTTGAATTTTTTTATTATTTACAGTAAAATTGAAACTATTAAATTTAATATACAAAATGAAAATTTTTTTTTTCAGTTTCGTTTGTCTTACTAATAATGAATTTAAGACAATTTTAATTTACCTTACAAATATTTTAACAAGAAAAAATTTTTAATATTTGTAATTATTTTACAAAAATGTATTAAAATATTTGATAAAAATTTTTTACAAATATTTACAAATATTTTTACAAATATTTTTTTAAATATTTGTGTTAATAAAAACGAAAAATGAATCATTCACTGAATAATATATTTTTGCAAACTTATTCAAAAGAATAAGCTGAATGAGTTCACGTAGAAATTACACATTTTGTTAATAAAAATAAACACAAAAAAGTATCAAATATCTGCTAAAAGACAAATATTTTCAAGTTTCAAACTTTTTACAATCAATTCCTAAAAGAATTTATTTTACTTTCTGTTTAAATTGTATTGTTTAAAATCAGTTAGTTAAGATTTTATATTTTTAAAATCAAATTTTTATTTCAAAATAAATATTTTTTAATATATTTATTAATTAATCTTATATTTTAATAAGTATATTTCCAAATGCTCAGTTATTTGAATACTAGCACATTAATGAAACTGCATTAGTTATCTTTATGAAAATCAAAAAAAACAGTCTTAGTTTATTTTTGATTTGATTTAAGAAAAATTAGTAAGCGTTAAAATCAATCACTATTAATAAATATACAAGAAAATCAATAAACAAACCGTATGCGAATTTCTCATGGCCCAAAAAATTGAAGAATAAGTGAATAATATACTGCCTGTAGAAGGTACCAAAATAAGTGAGGCTAATGTAACATTATAAGCCGTTGTTGCTGACCAATCAAGCAGGCACAATTCAGCTGCATGGTAATACGACACCTTGAAAATTAATTTTTTTGAATTGTAAAAAGTATTCAATCAATATTACACAGAGGTTGATTTTATGTTATTTAAATAAAAATATGACTTATTAGTAGTAGAATTTAGTATAATTAAATATTAATAAACTTATACAAATATGTAAATTATAATCGAAAACGAATATTTGTATTTTATTAGCAAAAATAATTTTATTTTAAAGCTTATTTTTTGAATTCAGTTTTTAAAATTCTGTACAGCTTTTAAAAATGACTGCAAGCTATGAACCCTTTTTTATACCATTTTTTTCTTCATAAAAAATAATAACAATATTTAGAATTAAAAAAAAAATCTCTATAAAATAATTATAAGTTTAAAGACAATAATATCAGGCCAATGCCAGAAAGATACTGTAAATTCATGCCTTCATGCGAGCAACAATAATAGGCAAAGAGAATAGTACTGTACTGCTCCACGTGAATGCAATCCAGCATTTACATTTCATGATAGTTTGCTCTGCTTCATACCTGTAAACCATTTTTTTTTTGCTTTCACGAAAAATAATATCAATATTAATAACAATAATAATAATAATATTAATAATAATAATAATAATTATTATTATTATTGAATCAATATGAGTAATAGTGATTTGTATGATATATCTAAACTTTGAATAATTTCAGTAAAAGCAATGAACTTGATGGAAAAGAAGAACGAAATACTTTTACTTCTTGCTCACTTGAATAAATTTAAACTCAGAAATGAAAAGGTCTTGTAGTAAGTAATTATAATAACGATCTTATTCATTAATATGCAAAAAAGGATCTTTTCTTAAATGCTTATAAAAATTTGAAGCCAAAAATATCTTTCATTATTAAAGTGTGTGCATTAAAAGAAACTATCAAATGCTAATTACAACAAAATATTTGTGAATTAATTTTTGGAATAATTTTCATTTTGCTTTTATTTATTCAAATTTTTATTCATTATAACAAAAAAACTTAATCTAATTATAAAGTTTATTAGCAAAAAGTAATGGAACAAATTTAAATAATTTAGCTTAAACTCAATAATCAACATTTTTTATTATTAATTAGCTGAGATATTAAAATTATGAAAATTAATTTACCTTTGCGGCTTCATCAAAGCAGCATATCGATCAATACCAATCCATGCAAGAGTATAGGCAGTATTTGCAAATAAAACTACTTCTAAATATACTAAACATTTGCATACCAACGAATTATCACCCATAAACTGCCAGTCAGGTGCTAAAGCACTGTACATACTTGTTGGTATGATTGCAACGGAGCAAAGTAAATCAGCGGCTGATAAAGAAACCTACAAATAATTACTATTAATAATTATTATATTATTATATTTAATAATAATAAATTATTAAAAATAGTCATAATTTGTAATATCATTACTGTATTCAATCATACTGGAAATTAAAATTATCAATAAATGAACAAATTATCAAAAATTTATCAGCAATTAATGCAAAAGTTTTTTTAAGTTCCCTCTTTTAAAAAATTCCATAGCTAATTGTGATATTTTAAGCAACCAACTTTGATAATGATAACTCCGAGATTTATTGATTTCATGAATAATTTGTTTTATGTCAGTTATTATTTAGCAAATTAAAAGTACTTAGTAGTATTTCTTGCACAAATAATAATAAATAATAATACATAAAAAACAAATTTTTTGAATAAAATACAAAAAGCTTAAAAAATTAATTAAAAATACGAAAAATCTAATTTTTTAATACAATTTCACAACTGCAGAAAAGTATCTGCACATCGAAAAGTGTTGCAATAATAATGACTTATAATAATAACTTTAATAATAATAATAATAATATTTATAATAATAATAATAACTTTGTTTAGCATAACCTCAACAACTGCTATTTTTTGTATAAAAAAACAATCATTTAAAATGTGAACTAAATTTATAAATAATAAAATATTCAAATAATTTTACTTTATGATATAAAAATGATCATAATTAAAAAAATTATGATAGTAAATAAATAGATGAAATATGAAATAGTTTGACAAACCATATAATATCCAATTACATCACGAAGCGCATCATTACACAATGTTGTAGTTATGGAAATCACCGCGGAGAACATTAGCAATAAACCAACGGATAAAATTACCGCGGCTCGAGCTAGTGCTTCCGCGGTTAATGCCGATGGATCAACCATTGCTAGCATGTCACACCTGAGTAACAATCAGTACTTCAATCAATCAAATGATAAATTTTGATCTGATAAGAGTGACCAAGATGACTGATATTTTTGGAATCAATTGAGTTTTCAGAAGCCAAAGCAAATTACAACATGTATTACAGATCCTAACCTCTGACCGTAAATAAATAAACTTTTGATCGTAAAATTTTTATCTCAAATCTGAAGTTCAGAGATTTTAAAAGCGATAAAAAATACCAAACTTCAACTTGTTCACACTTTACTTACTTTCTTATAATAATCACTTCGATAAAATAATGATAACAATAACAATAATAATAACAATAAATAATCAATTTTATAAATTTGGTTGCTAATATTCATAATTCATAATGTTTCAGTTATTTTATTAATTTTTACACTTATTCAAACAACAAATAGCAGTAGCAAAATAATACTTTCTCTCATAATATGATGAGGCATAATGTCTGTCCGATTAACTGTGCAAATTTATTTGCATCAAAAAGAACTAATTACGGTAATGATAAGAAATTCAGCCCAAGAATTACTTTTTTGTGAAATTATTATCACTATTCACTAAAATATTATATTTTAATTTGATATTACTAATATAATCATTTCCATTAATTTGGTACTTAGTAAAGCTGCTAAGAATACATAAAAGGTAGGAGGAACTCATCATAACTTGTTATAACTAAAATAATTCATAAAGTTAATAGTAACTGTAATTTTTTGAAAATTCAGACAGTCCACAAATTGCTTATTTGAGTGAAAAAGTAAAACTTACTTTGGAAATCATTTGGGTGCTTCTGAAGATGGCTGCTCCCTGAGACTGTAATGAACAATAACAAAAATAGTAATATCAATAATTAATCTGTAAAATATATATATGAATTGTGCAGGAAAACAATTTTGATTATTTGAAAGACAATCTAAAATAGCAAAATTTTGACTTATTTCTGATTAAATTTTGAAAAATAAATTTCCAAACTAATTGTCAATTTTAATTTTAATTATCCGCGCATTCGTCATTATAAAGATTGCTGCAGTTATGAAGTCTAGCAGTAATGATTATATAGTTTAGATTATTTTTAATATATTAAAAATATTTAATTACTTAGTTTGTATTTGTATGCAAAGTAATATAGCGAATGTATGATTAACTTAAAAGTTCACAAAAATGAAATAAACTATTTTACTTCAAAAGTATGCAACACAAAGATGAAATAAAATGAGAATGTTTGAAGCAATAAAATACATATTGCAAGAAAAAACATCTTAAAGTATAAGTTGCATGAGTTTGTTCTTAACAAAATCCTATGTTCACATCCGTAAGTACGCTAGATTATCCGTAATTATGTGTTTAGCTGAAAATTGTTCCAGATTTGTTGAGTGATTAGTCTACAGTAACAAATATCTTTCATAGACATAATTTTAATAAATAACAAACTCGCCGACAACTTTTATCACCTAATAATTTTAGCCACCATTTGATGATAAATACATTAATAATTGTAGATATGCAATTTAAATAATTCAATTAAAATAGCAATTAAAATTAATGCAAAGGTTAAATCTCAATCAAATGACTACCAAATTGAAATGTAATATAAATTTTGAAATCATTCAAAACTTTGCCGCCAAAAATTTATTCCACTAAAAAATTTTATTTGCTAGATTATCTATTATAATTATAATTATGCAAAATAGCAAATACTTTTTTGAATATTATTGAGTCATTTCCACTGAATACAAATACAAATCGCCGTTATTAGATTACGCTTGACAAGTTGTCACAATAACAATTATTAAATTATATCGTAAAAACACTCAGTCACTTATTTTGTGTGCAAAGCAAAATGTATGATTAAACTTAACAAAATTCAATTCTTAAATAATTCACTGAAATAT